CAGTGTTTCATATTAAATAAAAAATCGAATCTGTGACTCTTATAGATTCAATAATAAACACGTTTTTTAAAAGTATAAATATCATTTGAAAAGTGCAGTGTCTACATTTTTCTTTTATATCTCGACGATCTTCGTTGCTATTATTAATATTAAACATGCATATAAAAGCTAAAACTATAGTTAATGAAATTAGTATTAAGTAACATTAGTACTTTTTATAGATTTCTTGTAATTCGCTGCCAAATTTCAAGTAAATGGAACTACAGTGTGTTTCATATTAAATAACAAATCGAATCTGTGTTTCTTATAGATTCAATAATAAACACGTTTTTTTGAGTTAAAAGTATAAATATCATTCTCAAAGTGCAGTGTATATATTTTTCTTCTATATCTCGACGATCTTTGTTGCTATTATTAATATTAAAAATGCATATAAAAGTTAAAACTATAGTGAATGAAATTAGTATAAAGCAACATTTGTACTTTTTATAGATTTCTTGTAATTCGCTGCCAAATTTCAAGAAATTGGAACTACAGTGTTTCTTATTAAATAACAAATCGAATCTATGACTCTTATAGATTCAATAATAAACACGTTTTTTTTTTAGTTAAAAGTATAAATATCATTCGAAAAGTGCAGTGTCTACATTTTTCTTCTATATCTCGACTATCTTCGTTACTATTATTAAAATTAAACATGCATATAAAAGCTAAAACTGTAGAGAATTAATTTTGTATAAAGCAACATTTGTACCTTTTATAGATTTCTTGTAAATCGCTACGTAAGTTGTAGAAATTAAACATTAAGCAATGTTTTCACATTGTCTTCTATTTCTGGATTATCATGAATGTATTTTGAAAAGTTGAAATCTTGCATTAAAACTAAAAGAAAATAAAAAATAGTACAGATTAATTGTTTTATCTTGATTATTCTCACATTTTCATAATATTAAATTTTAAAGTTAAATTAGTACAAACTTCTTGAAATCGATGTAAAACCTCAGCGTTCTGAGAACTTATTATTTTGGTTTTTCTTTTTATAAATTCTCAATTTCCTTCGGTTTCTTCGTCAACTTTTAATGTTTGTTTTCATTTGGATACGTACGGTTTGCCGACCGCCGCAAAATTGAAACGGCTCGATGCCTCCATTCGATTACGCAACGGTCGCAATTAGGAAGTAAGTGTGAATGAGGAGGAAGGGTCGGTTGCAGTTAGTTAATATCTACTCTCCTCTACTCTGGTTATGCATACACGTATGTATGTATATGTACGTAATACATGTATGGTGTTTATGTGTGAGTGTGTGTGTGTGAACTCATGGATTTAATTGGTTCTCCCACTTTGGCCGGGAAGAGTTAATAGACCGTGCAATAATATACACCGCATGTATACACGGACCCAAAAACGATTCGATAATAAACCGCAAAGCGTATTATCGATTCCGATCCATCTATAATGCAGTTTATGTCCTTCTCCTTCATCATCGTCCTTTTTTTCCCTTCATCGCCTACTCTCTTCCACTTGTTCAATTCGCTGTTATTTGTCCACCTCTTCTTTTTTTGTTTTGTTTCATTTCGTTTTTGTTTGTTTGTTAACAAACGAGAGAGAGAGTTAACGAGAGAGGCCATCAATTAAATTCGGCGCGTTCACTAATCGTTCGTTAATTGCTCGATTTCCGGTCTAAAGATAAAAGGGTATCCATGACGATTTTCCAAACAATTCAAATGTTTACCGATGCAAACCCATCCAACTATGTCAATTGTTAATTAAAGCATACCACGATGCAAGAGTCTATTTCATCTCTGTATGTGAGTTTTCACTCATATTTTTCATGTTTTTTTTGTATTACAAAAGGAAATGTTAATATTTTTCTATCAATTAAAACTAAAACTAAGTAATAAATATTTTGTTAAATCTCGAAAAAGCAGTAATTTTACATTTTTTAAGTGCCAAATTATTCAAATTGAATCATTTAAAAAGTTTCGAAAATACTCCACTTTTTGCTTCGAAAATTCAGTACCTTCAAGAAATACACATATACACAAGCATTCAAATTAAAGCTAAAACTATAAGGTACAAAATGCTTCTAATTACCTGATTGCATTTTGAGAATTGTTTTCCTAATTTAAAGTCAAAGTTGATGGGTTATTGCTATAAAGTAAACAAGTGAGTTGAAGTATTAAGTTTATGTACTTAACAAAGAGGTTATATCGTGATTTTTGAAAGTTACCAAGCTTTTGAAGAAGTAGTTTTAGGTACTTGAGAAAGTGGCTATTGTAAATAGCAAATTTAGAGTATTTCAGGGGTTATTATTTATTCTAAAATGAGTTAACTAAGCGATTTAGTTACTTGGCAAATATCAAGTAGTTGTTGGTTTATTGTAATAAAATGAGTTAATACAAAGCTAAGTGAGTTAGATGAATAGCTTTAAGTTCAGTACTTTGTAAACTACTTGGCAAGTATCAAGTAGTTGTTTCAAGTTTCGAAAATACAGTGTTTCCACTTTGCTTCTAATTACCTGATTGCATTTTGAGAATTGTTCTCCTAATTTAAAGTCAAAGTTGAAAAAGTTGATGGGTTATTGCTATAAAGTAAACAAGTGAGTTGAAGTATTAAGTTTATGTACTTAACAAAGAGGTTATATCGTGATTTTTGAAAGTTTCCAAACTTTTGAAGAAGTAGTTTTAGGTACTTGAGAAAGTGGCTATTGTAAATAGCAAATTTAGAGTATTTCAGGGGTTAGTTACTTGACAAATATCAAGTAGTTGTTGGTTTATTGTAATAAAATGAGTTAATCGAAAGCTAAGTGAGTTAGATGAATAGCTTTAAGTTGGGTACTTTGTAAGCTACTTGGCAAGTATCAAGTAGTTGTTTCAAGTTTTGAAAATACAGTGTCTCCACTTTTTTCTTCAAGAAATACACATATACACAAGTATGCATTCAAATTAAAACTAAAACTATAAGGTACAAAATGCTTTTAATTACCTGATTGCATTTTTAGAATTGTTCTCCTAATTTAAAGGTTAAACTTTTTAGTTTGACCAAGTAACACACATATACAAATAAGTATGCAAATTGAAACTAAAACTATAGAATTTAAAATGAACTTAAATGTAGAATTATCTAATTTTCTCATACTTCACGAACAAAGTTGGAAAAGTTTGTACTAATTTTTATTTTTTTTGGGAAAAATCTTAAGAAAAATCATCAATATTTTAATAGAAAAAAAAATAAATTTATTTACATACAAAAAAATAAACAAACAAAAAATATACCTTACACGGAAACGAAGAAAAACAAAAAAAAAGTAATATTACAATTACAAATAAAAACAAAAGTATTTAATAATAAGTATGTTGATCACAAAAAACGTCGTTACCTTAAGATGATGATTAAATTAGCGGACATATGTTTGAATGAAAAATGAAATTATAATAATAATAATTTAAAAAAAACAAACAAAAAGCGAACACAGTGCGTCGCCAGTGGTCGGAGTTGGTCTAAGAACTAAAATTATTAGAGCGAATGAGAATCCTTGTGATATTAAATTGGTGGTTGGTTCGTGCAAGAGAATATAGAGGGCGCGAGAGTTGGTTTTAACGGGGTTGGGGGGCTAGAAATGGCTTCACTCTCTCTCCGTGTTCTTCTCTTTGTCTCATCAATATCCTGGTTTCACGTGTTTGACGACCGCATTGAATCCGGAATGTTTGTCCGCCGTGTACTGGACGATCCTCTTGGAACCGTCCGGCTCGACGAGGGTGTACTCACCCTTGACTTTATCGCCGTCGCGCGTCTCCCATTGGCTCTTGATGTCATGGGTGTGCAGATCGTGAACGGCGTAGTCGTAATGGTAATTTGGATGAGACTGCAAATGCAAAAGAAAACAAAACAGAAATTAGCTCAGAATGGATTAAGTTTACTTAATAAGTTTAAGATAAGAATGGATGAAATTAACTCAAAAACTATAGGATCTATAACTAATACATCTATAGATTTGTGTCAACACTGATTTTTCAGTAAGGACATGTTTGTAGATGTACGTTGAAATAAGTTTTTCAATAAGTCTTAAGATAATCATAGTTAATTTTCACTTTTTTATTACATAGACTTTCAAATTGTTGTTTTTTTTATATAATTCCAAGATTAGCACTATACTTGAACAATTTGGAAGCAAGGAAAAGGCAACGCTACCAATTTCGATGATCGTTTCGGTTTCGGTTGAAGTATTTTAACAAGCACCAATTTGCATTCGTTTCTTCTCTTCCACCTTCTTTTCTTTTCATTAATTATTTTTTTTTTGCCTTTCCTCTTCGAGATTCGGCTCATTAGAACCGATCATACCAATTTTCCTTCTTCTACCTTTTTTTTTTCATCATCATCATCATCACTTTCGTCGTCGTACTTCTCCTCCACTTGCTTTCCCTCATTAGCGGGGTTGGAAAATTTTCGAAACGCGAATAGGATTGAGTGGAAAATTGAGTGGACACGCGGTAATTGCCGTTTTCCACGATGCAATTCACGAGAAATTAAAAAAAAAAAAAAAGTACTGAGAATGTCACAGTTTTCTGTCGTTATAACAACGCTAATTGCGTTTATTAACTGCGCGCAATTTCCTCTAGATTTTTCCTGTTGAATCTTCATTATTTCCTATTGTTGTAAACTGGGTTAATCTAAAGTGATTTAAATAACAGATGAAAGATTGTAAGAAGTTACTTGGCAAGTATTGATTAGTTAATGAAGCAATTGAAAGATACGTGGCAAGTATCGAGTAGTTGATGGGTTATTGGTATAAAGTAAACAAGTATTTTGACTTTTGAAAGTTACTTGGTTTATTGTTATAAAAAAGAGATTAACCAAACTTTTGAAGAAGTAGTTTTAGGTACTTGTAGTTTTATACTATTGTAAATAGCAAATTTAGAGTATTTCAAGGGTTATTATTTATTCTAAAATGAATTAACTAAGCGAATTAGTTACTTGGCAAGTATGAAGTAGTTGTTGGTTTATTGTAATAAAATGAGTAAATCCAAAGCTAAGTGAGTTAGATGAATAGCTTTAAGTTAAGTACTTTGTAAGCTACTTGGCAAGTATCAACTAGTTGTTGGTTTATTGTAATAAATTGAGTTAATCTAAAGCTAGTGAAGTCGGTAAACTATTCAACTTGAAAAAGTGGTTATATAATGTATTTTGAAAGTTACTTGGTTTATTGTTATAAAGAAAGAGATTAACCAAACTTTCGAAGAAGTAGTTTTAGGTACTTGAGAAAATGGCTATTGTAAATAGCAAATTTAGAGTATTTCAGGGGTTATTATTTATTCTAAAATGAATTAACTAAGCGAATTAGTTACTTGGCAAGTATCAAGTAGTTGTTGGTTTATTGTAATAAAATTAGTTAATCCAAAGCTAAGTGAGTTAGCTGAAAAGCTTTAAGTTGAGTACTTTGTAAGCTACTTGGCAAGTATCAAGTAATTGTTGGTTTATTGTTATAAATTGAGTTAATATAAGGCTAGTCAAGTCGGTAAACTATTCAACTTGAAACAATGGTTATATAATGTACTTTGTAAATTACTTGGCAATTATCAAGTAGTTTTTGGTTTATTGTTATAAATTAAGTTAATCTAAGGCTAGTCAAGTCAGTAAACTATTCAACTTGAAACAGTGGTTATATAATGTACTTTGTAAATTACTTGGCAAGTATCAAGTATAGATTTGTGCTTACATGGTAATCGACGTATTCTTCGTGTCCTCCTCCTCCTCCACCGTGGCCGATGTCGTTGCCTCCTCCGTAGGCGACACCCGAAGATACCGCCTCGTGTCCACCGTAGTCCCCTAATCCACCGCCCAGAGCGTATCCACCTTCATAGTGCTCATAGCCGCCTCCTTGGACATCTGATGTTGCCACAAAGATTGCAGCTGCAGCGCAAACCTTAAAACAGGAAACATTTTTTATCTCTTCTATTTCTTGTTGTTGTTGTTGTTGTCTACTTACAATGAAGAGATGCATTCTCGCTGGTGGTGGTTGTTGTTGTTATTTTTGTTTTGTTTCTGAGGAGGGATGCGATTGCTGGGATCGGCGGATCGAGACTGATTTGACTTCTGGCAGTTGCCACTAATTTATATATGGTTCCGAGACGCGCGTTTTGTGAAAGGATTTCTCTGCACTCTTTGCGTCGTTTCTTCGTACACATTATTCCCCAGGACTCTTAACTATGTATATGTGTGTGTGTGCAAAGCGTCCGAGTGTTTATTTCTTCTTTCTCTCTTCGCTAACGCATTCTTCGCGCCACGCGTGAAACTTTCCCTTGATCTTGCCTAGAATAACTTCATCAAACACATCCAAATACATTTGACAAAAAAAAACACACACTTTTAACAAATTAATTTCAATTGAAATACACACATAACTGTTCAAATTAAACGAGCAATTACATAATTTTCTTATAAACGTTAACTTAATCAGCAACATGTAAATTCATAAACCATTACAAGAAATAGTACATATAAATCTAAACTTTGATATATTTTTACTAAATTCTCTTCCTTATAGTAAATCTTAAAATGAAAATATTTAAAGTAAAAATTAACAGTTTTTTTTTTTTTTAATTAAATATTAGAAACTAATTTTTGCTTATTTTAGAAAATACTCTAAAATTTATGAATTTCCTAGTGTTTTTTTTAATGAAATTTAAAGAAAAAATTGCAGATTTTTAAAAATTTGGATAGTTCCAAAACGTCCTTAAACATCTTTCAAATAAAAATCAAGAGAGATTATTGCAATTTTTACTATTTAGTTAAACAGTTAAACTTTTAAACTTTGTCATTTTTTTTTGTCAATTCTCTTAACAAAGATGTTATGTTATGATTTTTGAAAGTTACTTGGTTTATTGTTATAAAAAAAGAGATTAACCAAACTTTTGAAGAAGTAGTTTTAGGTACTTGAGAAAGTGACTATTGTAAATAGCAAATTTAGAGTATTTCAGGGGTTATTGTTTATTCTAAAATGAGTTAACTAAGCGAATTAGTTACTTGGCAAGTATCAAGTAGTTGTTGGTTTATTGTAATAAAATGAGTTAATCCAAAGCTAAGTGAGTTAGATGAAGCTTTAAGTTTAGTACTTTGTAAGCTACTTGGCAAGTATCAAGTAGTTGTTGGTAAACTATTCAGTAAACTATTCAACTTGAAAAAGTGGTTATATAATGTACTTTGTAAGTTACTTGGCAAGTAGTGTTATTTAGAACATAAATAGAAACAATAGGAAAATGTCTCTTAACATCTTTATTTAAAAACCTAAACTTTGTCTTATTTTTTTGTCAATTCTCTATTGAAAAGATGTTTTAAGTAAAAATTGAATGTTTATTTAGAACATAAATATGAAAAATCAGAAACTTTCAAATATTTAGCTTATGTCTTTGCTTATTTCCTTGTTTATTTTGAATGAAATTGAAAGAAAAATTGCAGATTTAATTTATTAATGGATAGATCCAAAACGTCTTTGAACATCTTCAAAATAATGATCAATCAAGATTGTTACTATTTACATAAACAATAGCAAATTGAAATACATGTGTTTTTTACATATTTCTTTTGTTTTTCTCAATATGAAAGTCGGCTATGAACATTGAATTATGAAATTGTTAAAAAATTGAACAACAATTTGAACAACAAAACTAAAACTGTCGAAACCTCTACGTTTCTTTTATTAAAACTTATTATTTAATAAGAAAGTAAATTTAGTATATAGACATGTGTAGTAATGTCATGCAAAAGAAATTATTAAAAAAAAAGTAGTGAATTTAATCACAAATTGTATTATATAATTCAAGAATCAAAGTTTACTTTTTTAGAATTAAAATCACTTTTTTAAATGTATTTTATATAATTTAGTAAACAAAATGAATTGTTTAATTGTTTGATTAAAATTGAATTAGGATATCTGAAATGGATTTGTAATTATGATATAATAATTGTAATTAATGATCGTTTATAATGTTAATTATGGTTTCATAATTATAACAATTTTGACGTGAATGATGTAACAAAGTTCCAATACGTTTCGCCCTTAGATTGCGGCTGCAAATTGAGCCGTTTCCCATGCATCGATTTCTCAATCGACTTTTTGAAAGTAAACAGCGACTAAAAGTTTCGCGTGCCTTTAATTAGTTTCACTCTGCTTCTGCTTCCTCCTAGTCCGTCCAAATTCATTTCCATACTGATTCGCACAGTTTCATTTAAACAAATTAACAAATTCCTTGGTTCTTCTCCAACATCATCTCTTCAGTTGCTCTTCAGTTTACGTATCTTGTTTTGATGATTGGAGAAAGAAAAGTAGCCGCAAATTGGCAATTTGCGACCGTAAATGAATATGTAACAGTCAATGATGCGTGCAATGCCGCCGACCCATTCATTCTGCATAGCAGCAGCTCGTGGGCCTCGGAGGAATCCGAGCGATTTTAATATTTCAGACATGCAAAAGAAAGTACAATGCGTCGCCGTAACGGCGTAAACGAATTGTAAATAGATCAGAGGTTTCGGCTTCGACGACGGTAATTTCCTGCATCGATTCGATTATATTAGATCAACGAATGTATTCCTAATGGTTACAGCTACAAACCTCGAGGCGAAGCACAATAATAACAATGAGAGAGAGAGAGAAAAAAACTATAGAGAATAAACTGGAGGCGATTTTTTTATGTGTGAAGTTCGGAAACGGTCTAATTGCTCCATAATTGCTTTTCAATCTTGCGTGGAATAACGCGAAAGAAGTGCGGATTATAAAGGAAAAGAAAAAAAATATAGAATATGCAAGTGGTAATATTGAATTAGTTCCAATAATTATAGCAACAAGAGCGGGTCTTAATTGCTTCTTGAATTATTCATTCTTCCGATACCGCAAAAAGATATTCTCTGAGCTGGCAACTTTTCAACGGAATCTTCGTTAATTGTTTCTCCATCAACGCATTTTAGAGCAATTTAATTGCTAAATTCATACAAATTAACTTCTTTCATAACATTAATATTTATAAATGGATGTTTTAAAACTGTTATTGTTGTAAATATGAATTACGAAACATTGATTTTCTCAGAAACTATAATAGATGGAATGGAGACAAAAGATGCATATGAAAGCTGGATGTTTGGGGAATGTAGAAGTTATTTAATCATTGCTGTGGTTTCATCCGTTTTGGTTGTAATTCAAGTTCAAAATTGAACAATTAACGCACGAAAAATGTCTTCATACATTAGTGATTTTCGCAAAAACTATAATAGATGGAATGGACACAAAAGATGCACATGAAACTGGGATGTTTGGGGAATGCAGAAGTTATTTAATCATTGCTGTGGTTTCATCCGTTTTGGCTGTAATTCAAGTTCAAAATTGAACAATTAACGCACGAAAAATGTCTTCATACATTAGTGATTTTCTCAGAAACTATAATAGATATAATGGATACAAAAGATGCATATGGAAGCTGGATGTTTGGGGAATGTAGAAGTTATTTAATCATTGCTGTGGTTTCATCCGTTTTGGCTGTAATTGAAGTTCAAAATTGAACAATTAACGCACGAAAAATGTCTTCATACATTAGTGATTTTCTCATAAACTATGATAGATGGAATGGATCTAAAAGATGATTATGAAATTTGCATATTTGATGGTTGTAACGTGCATTTAAGCATTGCTGTGGTTTCATCCGTTTTGGCTGTAATTCGAGTTCAAAATTGAACAATTAACGCACGAAAAATGTCTTCTTATATTAGTGATTTTCTCAGAAACTATAATAGATGGAATGGATACAAAAGATGCATATGGAAGCTGGATATTTGGGGAATGTAGAAGTTATTTAATCATTGCTGTGGTTTCATCCGTTTTGGCTGTAATTCAAGTCCAATATTGAACAATTAACGCACGAAAAATGTCTTCATACATTAGTGATTTTCTCAGAAAGTATAATAGATAGAATGGATACAAAAGATGAATATGAAATTTGAATATTTGATGGTTGTAACGTGCATTCAAGCATTGCTGTAGTTTAATCCGTTTTGGCTGTAATTCAAGTCCAAAATTGAACAATTAACGCACGAAAAATGTCTTCTTATATTAGTGATTTTCTCAGAAACTATAATAGATGGAATGGATTGAAAAGATGAATATGAAACTTATATATTTGATGGTTGTAACGTACATTCAAGCATTGCTGAGGTTTCATCCGTTTTGGCTGTAATTCAAGTTCAAAAATGAACAATTAACGCACGAAAAATGTCTTCATACATTAGTGATTTTCTCAGAAACTATGATAGATGGAATGGATCAAAAAGGTGAATATGAAATTTGCATATTTGATGGTTGTAACGTGCATTTAAGCATTGATGTGGTTTCATTCGTTTTGGCTGTAATTCAAGTTCAAAAATGAACAATTAACGCACGAAAAATGTCTTCATACATTAGTGATTTTCTCAGAAAGTATAATAGATAGAATGGATACAAAAAATGCATATGAAAGCTGGATGTTTAGGGAATGTAGAAGTTATTTAATCATTGTTGTGGTTTCATCCTTTTTGGCTGTAATTTAAGTTCAAAATTGAACAATTAACGCACTAATAAAGTCTTCTTAAATTAGTGATTTTCTCAGAAACTATGATAGATGGAATGGATCCAAAAGATGCATATGAAATTTGCATATTTGAGGGTTGTAACGTGCATTCAAGCATTGATGTGGTTTCATCCGTTTTGGCTGTAATTCAAGTTCAAAAATGAACAATTAACGCACGAA